GGCAACATCCTGGCAAATTTTTCTGTACCCTCTCCAAAGCCACCACATCATTCTGGTAGTGTGGCGACCAGAATTGAACACAATTTTTAAAATGTGGCCTAACTAAGGTTCTGTAAAGCTGCAACATTACCTGCCAATTTTTAAACTCAATGCCCCAGCCGATGAAGGCAAGCATGCCATATACCTTGTTGACTACCTTTTCCACCTGCGTTGCCACTTTCAATGACCTGTGTACCTGTAGGCCCATCTACCTATCAGTACTGTTAGGGGTTTTGCCATTTACTGTAGATTTTCCATCTGGATTAGACCTTCCGAAATGCATTACTTCACATTTTTCTCGATTAAACTTCATCTGCCATCTCTTTGCCCAAGTCACTAACTGATCTATATTCAGTTGTATCCTTTGACGGTCCTCATCGCTATCCACAATTCCACCAACCTTTGCGTCATCGGCAAACTTACTAATCAGACCAGTTATATGTAAACGATTTGGCAAATGTATTACAAACAGCAAAGGTCCCAACACTGATCCCCGAGGAACGCCACTAGTCACAGCTCTCCATTCAGAAACACACGCTTCCTCTGCTACCCTCTGTCTTCTATGATAGAGCCAGTTTTTTTCATCCATCTTGCAAGCTCACCTCCAACCCCGTGCGACTTTACCTTCTGTATCAGCCTGCCGTGAGGGACCTTGTCAAAGGCCTTACTGAAGTCCATGTAAACAACATCCACTGCCCTACCCTCATTGATCATCTTCGTCACTTTCTCAAAAAACTCAACCAAGTTAGTGAGACACGACCTCCCCTTCACAAAACCATGTTGCCTCTCGCTAATATGCCCATTGATTTCTAGGTGGGAGTAAATCCTGTCTTGAATAATCCTCTCCAATACTTTGCCTAGAATCCTCTCCAATAATTTTTTGGACCATCTCAAGTTTAACAACATCCGTCCTACAAGGAAGGCTACCAGAGCTGTACACAGTATTCTAAAAGGTCCTGTACAGCTGCATCATGACATAGCAACTGATGTACTCAATGCACTGATCAATAAAGGCAAGCATGCCAAATACCTTCCTTACCACCCTGTCTACCCGCAACTCCACTTTTAATGCACCTGCAGCCCTAGGTTCCCTTGTTCAGCAACACTCCCCGGGGTCCTACCATTAACTGTACGAGTCCTGCCCTGATTTGCATCATCAAACTGTAACAACTTAACATTTATCTAAAAACTCCACCTGCCACTCCTTGGCCCATTGGCCCATCTGATCAGGGTCCCCACTGTACTGAGATGATTATCTTCATTGTCCACATGACATCAAAAATTGGTGGTGATCTGTAAACTTACTAACCATACCTCCTATGTTCACATCCAAATCATTTATATAAATTACAAAAAGCAGTGGACCCAGCACCAGTCCCTGTGACCAGCAGTGTGCCACAGGCCTCCAGTCCAAAACGCAGCCTTCTACCATTACCCTGTCTCCCACCTTTAAAGCTAAATTTGTATCCAATCGGCTAAATCCCCCTGGTTACCATGTGATCCAACCTTACTAACCAGTCTGTCATGAAGGACCTTGTCAAATATTTTTCTGAAGTCCTTACAGACAACATCTACTGCTCTGCCTTCAGTCTTCTTTGTCACCTCTTCAAAAAATTCAATTAAGTTAGAGACAGAGACATGACTTTCCACACACAAAGCCATGTTGACTATCCTTAATTGGTCCTTTCCTTTCCAAATGCACGTAAATCCTGTCCCTCAGAATCCCCTCCAACAACTTACTCACTATTGACTTCAGGCTCACCAGTCTATAGTGCCTTGGCTTTTCCTCTCAGACTTTAAATAATGCACCACATTAGCCAACTTCCAGTCTTCTGGCACCTCATCTGTGGTTGTTGCTGATACTGATACAAATATCTCAGCAAGGGGCCCAGCAATCTCTTCCCTAGTTTCCCACAAAGGTCTGGGAAACACCCCATCAGGTCCCAGGGATTTATCTACATTTGTGCGTTTTAAGACCTCCAGCACCACCTTTTCTGTAATATGAACTCTTTTCAAGATATCACTATTTATTTCCTCAAGTCCACTAGCTCCCATGTCCTTCTCCATAGTAAATACTGACAGAAAATATTTGTTTAGTATTTCACACACCTCTTGTGGTTCCCCACACAGACAGCCACATAAGGAGCCCCATTCTCTCCCTAGTTACTCTTTTGCCCTGAATGTATTTATAGAATCTCTTTAGATTCTCCTTAGCTCTATTTGCCAAAAGCTATCTCATGTCCCCTTTTTATTCTCCTGATTTTCCTCTTAAGTAAACCCCTACCACCCTTCTACTCCTCTAGGGCTTTGGAACACCACATTCTACAGCCAACCAGACAGAAGGCTATTCTAGATTTGAGACTGTGCAATGAGACAGGATTAATTGACAGCCTCAAAATAAAGGTGTTCCTAGATAGCTGAGATAATTAGGGAAGTGAATTCCACATTCAGTTTGAGGAAAGTATTTTAAATTTAATTAAAGGAAATAAGGATATGAAGATTGTGCTTGCTAAAGTTATTTGGGGTATTATGGGGTTATAAGATGGCCAATAAAGATGCACTGAAAGACATTTAAGTAGATCTTTCATAATACTGAAAAGGTATGTTCCAATGAGAAAGACAGACTCTTGGAGAAGGATACATCATTCTTGGTTAACTATGGAAGTTAAAGATAGAATTTTTCTTTCAAATTGGCATTATAGTTCCACAAAGATCAGTTGCAGCTCAGCTGACAGAACAAAAAAAAAGACCAAAAAATAGTAAGAGGGATTATAACAGAAAACTAGCTAGATAGGAGGAGTTTCTACAAGTACTTAAAAAAGGTAAAACTAACTAAAGTGAAGATTCATTCTCCAGATAGAGTCTGGGGTATTAATATTGAAAAATGAGGAAATAGCAGCTGCATTGAACAGATATTTTGTCTTTTATATGTGAAGACACACCCAAACATCCCAAATAAAATTGTACATCAAGTAGTAAAAGGGAGGGTGGAATTTCAAACAACTGCATTCACCAGGGAAACAGTACTGAGAAGTAAAGGCTGACAAGTCCTATGTTCTGATGGACTTCATCTTAGAGTCTAAAAATGAAGTGGCTGCTGAAATAGTAAACACGTTAGTTTTAATTTTACAAAATTCTTTAGAATTCTTTCGGTCCATCAGATTTAAAAACGCAAATATAGGTCCTCTTATTCGAGATTGAAGTGATACAGAAAGCAGGAATTACAGGCCAGTTAGCTTAACATCAGGGAAAATGCAGGAACCTATTATTAAAGACTGTTACAGCGATGCACTTAGGAAAACTTAACACAAATAAGGCAGAGTGAACATGGTTTTGTGAAAGGGAAATAGCGTTTGATGAAATTACATTTTTTTAAGAAAATAACTAGCAACTTAAATAATAGGTAAGCTGTAGTTGTGGTGTGCTTGAATCTTTAAAGGTATTTCACAAAGTGTCACTTAAAATGGTTACTGTGCAAAATAAGTGTGTGCTGTAATGTGTGTATTTTGTACAGTGGGGGAGACGGATGGGAGAATTTGGTGGAGGGGTGGGAGTTGTTGGAGAAGAGGTGATATTGGATAGACTATCCATGGCATGAATAGGGGATTGGTTTGTCTAATGCAGACAGTTATTAAAATTTTCTAACGACGCAAACATCGGTAGGAAAGTCAACAGAGTATAAAATCGGATAATGATAGGTTAAATGAGTGAGTAAAATTCAGTAAACGCAAAGTACAATGAGGGATAATATGAACTTGCCCACTTTGGCAGAAAGAAAGAAAAGCAGCATATTATTTAATTTGAAAGTTTGGACAATCCAGAATTGTACAGCAATGTGCGTGTCTTGTTACATAAATTACAGAAAGTTAATTTGCAGATACAAGTAATTAGGAAGCCAAATAAAATGCTGTCACTTATTGCAAGGGGAATGGAGGTAAATTAGTAACGTTCACTATGGTTGTACAGAGTGTTGGTGAGACTATATATGCAGACGTCTTATGTCTTATTTAAGAAAGAACATAACTATTAGAAGGTTCATACATCTGATTCATGGGATGAAGGGTCTGTCTTGTAAGCGAAAAGATTGGTCAGTTGGGCCTGCATCCACTGGAGTTTCAGAACCAGGGAGAATCTTACTGAACCTGTCAAGTTTCCTCATAATCTTGCAAGAGTGGATGCTTGGTGGAAAGACTTAGGTGACAGCATGGTAGCAAAGCATATGAGACCTTGGGCTTCATAAGAAGTGACAGAATACAAGAGGGATGTTGGGCTTCATTCTTATAAAGCTGTTTTGGTCACTAAAACAATGCATTCTTGAGACATGTGCAAGCATACTCAAGGGAGTGCAGGAAAAATTTACAACAGTAGTTCCAGGGATGAAGAACTGTAGTTATAAGATTAAGTTGGAATGGCTGGGGTTGTTCTCCTTGGAGGAAAATAGAATATAAGAATAATAATGTACGAGATTATAACAGGCTTACGTTACATAGACAAGGTAAAACAATCCACATCAATAAATCCATGTCCCCTAGTCCTGGTACTAAAAGTTTAGGCAAGAAATGCATGGGAAGCTTTTTCCTTAAAAAAAGACAGAAGTGGTAAAGATCTGGAACCCACTGCCTAGAAGGGTGAAGGAAGTGGAGTTTATGAATGATCTAAAAAGGAAACCAGTTGAGCAGTTTAATGAAATAATTCCACAGGGTACAATGATTGAGTGGAGGAGTGGGACTGACTGGATTGCACCGTAGAGAGCTAGCATGGATTTGATGGGCCAAATGATCACCTTCTGTGCTGTAAATGACACTATTACTACTGGCACTAAACTATCCACTTAAAATAACTCTTTTCTCTTTCACACATTCAAATTAATCTCATCAACAACCTTTTAAATCTGAAAACAAAAATACAGGAATTTAGGAACTTTAAAATATGACCAATGAGGTCATCGAGATCAAACATACCTTCAGACATCCTGGGTGTAATATTTCATTGCAGATGGAGCATTCCATTAAGCTAGCATTAAATTTCTCTGCTTCATCCACCACATTGTCTTCCTTTCCTGCCTCACCGCAAATCTTGCAGACTGCAGTGTGTGGTAGCACGGGCTGCAACAAAGTGTTACAGGTCAATAGATTCTAGTCTAATTTAAAATAATATACTATGTAAAACACCCTATTTCTAATACCACTCAGATAGTAAGAACTGCAGATGCTGGAGTCAGAGGTAGCACAGTGTGGAGCTGGAGGAACACAGCAGGCCCTTTCGAAGAAGGGTCCCGACCCAAAACGTCAACTTTCCTGCTCCTCTGATGCTGCCTGAGCTGCTGTGTTCCTCCAGCTCCACACTGTTATTCCTAACACTTACTATTCATTACCTTAGTTTGAGACATATTTTGGAACTCCAGATAAATTTCATGATGACGGTGAATGTAGCAGCATCAATGCACCATGTTGCACAATTCATGAACAAGTTTAATCCTACTTTGACTTTCTAATTACAGCGACATAGCTTGGATAATTGTTCAGCAAAAGACCAAAATCACCTGTGACTGAAACTGGTTGCAGTGTCTATCTCAAGCTACTGTGATGCGCTTTATAGATATTAGTGTAAATAGTGTGATTCTGCTCATACTATTTGCGAAAGGAATCACTAAATCTACAGAAGGACAATTGCTGATGTACACTCTGCATAGACCTTTGGCATAAAACAAAACCGGCATAGTTTGTTAGCACTGTTAAAATAATTGTATTAACCATCGTAATAATTGGCAACACTTTTTCTGATGTGTAGAAAATCAAACTCTGCTATTGTATCGTTACGGGACAAGGAATCGTGGCTCTGGTTACGGAAGGGTTTGGATTTCAAGTTAGTAACATATGGGTGTTGGCTACTTGTGTGAAGGGTCTGAAGAAAAAGTAGGTCAGACAGATTTTCCAGAATATGACCTCATCCAACACATCTCAAAGAGCAAGAAAGCCCTGGAGGGTTAATGAATGGTTTGCATTGCACTGGGTCAAAACTGTGGGGCATAGGGTGGCACAGTGGCTCAGTGATTAGATCTGCTGCCTCACAGCACCAGGAACCTGGGTTCAATTCCAGTCTTGGGCAACTGTGTGGAGCTTGCATATTCTTCCAAGATCCACTGACTGGCAATGAAATCAATAGCACGTTAATTAGTTTTTAAATAATGTTGGTTGGGAGAAAAACATCAGTCATAAAAAAAAAGAGAACCAACCTATTTTATGTAAAACAGCCCTGTAGTCTCTCCTATGTCCACTCAAGGGGGAAAACATTATCTCAGTTTCACGTCTTATTTGAAAAGCACCTCTGCCAATGCAGTAGTCTCAGTATTGCACTGAAATGAGTGTCTAAATTTGCCACTCAAGTCTTAAATTAGAATGTAAACACACAAACCTTCTGACTTAAAATGATGAGGTGCTTCAACAAGCTGTGTATGGTCCATATTTTGTTATCAATTCCTGTGGTGCCACTACATAATTCAGACCAAAACCTGTAGTAGTAATTAGACGTTTGTAGCATAGAACTGGAGTATTGCTGAAAAAAATTTGAAGTTTTTTGTCTTGCATTCATCAGGACAATTTTCAAGCACACCAATTCAAGGGGAATCTCAGCAATTATGTGGTACGAGAGGACAGTGCCAGTTAATTGACAAGTAGATTCTGATTGGTAGAGGCGTTGCCAAGGAGGACGTTCAGATTCACAATGATTGACAGTTGACAGCCAAACACTAAACTTTAAACCAGAGGTTAACTCTGAACCTGCCTTAAAAAAAATGGACCAGCAAAATAGTTGTCAGCAATTTTGTTGAGTTGAAATAGAAGTGTTCTCCCTGTCAACAGTGATCAGGGGCCTGTGTATTGATATTTGCAGCTTTCAGTCCACACAAGCATACTAATCTGCCAGTATTAGGCACATACAGCCTACATCACACCAGCATTGAAATTCATCTACCACATTACTCACATGTGAGGTAGCTATAGTAGAAGTGCGAAACTGCTAGCTTCACTTGTTGCTTAAACTTTTGAGAAACCTTACCATTCCAGAATAATCAGAAGTCGACTAGACAATTTTCAGGACCAAAAGGAGACCGTCGTAGGGCCTTTGAACGATACACAGCGAGAAGTGACTGGATCAAGGTAGCCATTACCATGGTAGGATGCTTCTGATGCGCCCTATTTCAGCATCAAGTTTGTATGGTGAACGAATGGCTCAAGTCCTATTTTAGCAGGTTGCTCATAAGTTCACTCAAAGTGCACAAAATTGTAGGAAGCCCAATGTGTCTACTATCCAATGAGGGTATGCGTGTGGTAGACAGCAGTGAAGAACCTTTTGCTGATTTCTCAACTAGGACATTGAGAAAAGGACTTTTTACTCAGAATGGAGCCTGTTAAGACGTGTAAGGAATTTCTTACATGCAGCTGCAAATTCACATACAGTAAACACATCAGAAACATGCGAGGGTGGATGCTGAGGTGTTAGACTATCAAAGACATATTTCTCATGGAACTCAAAAGATTTTAGCAAGAAACAAAAAACAGAGGTTGCTGGAAAAGCTCATCAGGTCTGGCAGCATCTGTGAAGAAAAATCAGTTAACATTTCAGGTCCAGCGACCCTTCCTGAGAACTGATAGTAGCTAGGAAAATGTCGGTTTATATGCACAAGATAGGGCAGGGGGAACAGGGTAAGGACTAAATGATAGATGGGGGATAGAGCCCAGAGAGAGAGAACAGCTGGACAGACAAAGTAGTGGATAACAATCTAGGTGGGAGGGTGAATAGCTGTTAATGGGGACTGTTGGTGGCTAACAACAGGTAATGTGCAATGGCAGACAATGTAATAACAAGGCCTGTGTATGGGGTTGGGGCTAGGACATGGGAGAATACAGGCCCTAAAATTATTGACCTCAATGTTGAGTCAAGTCCGGATGGCTGGAGGGCTCCCAAGTGGAAAACGAGGTGTTGTTCATCTAGCTTGGGCTGAGCTTCGCTGGAACTTGTAGCAAGCCTGAGACAGAGACAGATGTTGGCCAGGGAACAAGGTGGTGTGTTAAAGTGGCAGGCAACTGGAAGCTCAGGGCCTTTCTTGCAAGCAGAACATAGATATTCTGCGAAGCAGTCACCCGGTCTACACTTCTTTTCTCCAATGTAGAAGAGACCACATTGTGAGCAGCGAATGCAGTAGGCTGTGGGAAGTGCAGGTAGAGTGCTGCTTCACCTGGAAGGTATGTTTGGGCCCTTGGATACTGAGAAGGGAGGAGGTAAATGGGCAGGTGTTACACCTTCGGCAGTTGCAGGGGAAGGTGCGTGGGGCTGTGAGAGTGAAGGAAGAGTGGACCAGGGTGCCCCAGAGGGAAGCGTCCCTGCGGAAGGTGGACAAGGGAGGGAGGGGAAGTAAGTGTCTACTGGTGGCATCTCACTGGAGGCAGCAGAAACAGCAGCTGATTATCTTCTGGATGTGGATGCTGGTAGGACGGTAGGTAAGGACAAGGGGACCCTGTTGTTGTTACGGGAGGGAAGACAGGGGATGAGGGCGGAAGTACGGGAAATGGGTCAGACCTGGTTGAGGGCACTGTCAACAATGCTGAGAAATCCTCGGTTGAGGAAGAAGGTGGACATTTTGGAGCCTCACTTGACGAAGTTGGCCTCGTTGGAACATACATGATGAAGACGGAGAAATTGGGAGAATGGAGAAGATTTTTGCAAGCCCTGGCTTAGTTAGGATTCCATGCAACACATCTATTTGGACATGTTTCTAATTTTGCTGAACTCAACTCTGCATGTTTGAATTTAATGAATACTGATTCACATAAATGGTGGCAGGTCAAAATGGCAACGGCAATGACATAGCACCGCACTGCAATTCTATACTGTATGTACCACGCAAGAACCAATTTGTTAAATAGGGTAGTAAAATGTCAAATAAGCACATTGACACTGCATGGCTATCGATATGCAAGTTCTGTATGGTCTTCACAAATGCGAAGGACTCCATCACATACATGGAAAACTTGCTCAAGATTGGGTGACAAATTACTCAACCAGTCGTCAATTCATGCCATGCAGAACCAGTCATGTATAACATGGGGTAAACTGACGTCACTTTTGCGCATTTTAGGTACCTGTAAATATGCGGGATGCAGTGAGACACGAGGATATATTTTATATATATAGAATTATCACCGAGAAGCTTGTTGCTTTTGGATAGGTTCAGCAATTGCTTTTTTTCTAGCTTGCTTTTGAGAAACAGGTTTCCACTAATGCTCAGCACAGATCCAATTCATACAAATTTGAACAATTAATAATACTGTGTGTTTTGTTAGACATTGTCATGCTTGTTGAAGATACTTACAACAGACCCATTGCCAGGTTTACTGATTGCGCAGGGTGGCCTCGAGGCCACACAACATTACCAGACATTCATATTGCATGTGGAAAAAAAATTGGACAAGTTGGTCAGAATCCCAAATATGCATGTGCTAGGGATATTCTTTGCAGACAAAAAGAACATGTGAATGCATTGTTTCAACTCAACAAAACTGGTCTCAGCCATTCACTGGTTTGTTTCTCAGGGCATGCTCTGATCAATCATAGTCCATCTGGATTGAAATTTAAACAAAACTTGGCTGTTAATTCTCAAATCATTAATGGGTATATTCTCTGCAGCAATTCATCTACCAGTGTTCACTTGCAACCATGCTGCAGTCTCCTCTTATGCAATATTAAATGTTGATTTCCTTCTTAAATTGATAGTTTTGCAAATTGACCTGATGAATGCAATGAAAGTTTTGATAAAATGCATCTTTTCAAACAAATTACCCAAAATTACTTCTGTTCCAGCAGCTTGGTAGCAAAACAGCATAAGCAAAAGTAAACAAGCATGCTGTAGTACAATTTGCTGCTCTTAAGTTAAAAAAAATAATTAATTCTTAGAAACAAAGTTTCAAAATGTACACCTTGGTGATCATGCAAGGATGTTGCCAAATTATGAAAACTTCCCAACGTATTCAAAGACCCAAACTGTTGCTGTTTAACTAGATCTGCCCCCACACTCTTATGATACCTTTCCCTCATTTGTGCATCTTAT